TATGATGACTTAATAATATATTTGCAAAATATTTTCTTCCTATTCAGTAACTCTGCCCTATCGAAACTGAATTTCTCCTCCCAAGAGAGAAGCCCTCCCACTGGAATTCATAGGCCTAGCCCCACTGGATTAGAACCAAGGCCGGCCACTTTCGCCTCCCTACGCACCGGACAAATAAGCACCCAAGACAGACCCGGATGTCTTTTGTGGTCAGTGCCACCACCATTGCTCAACTGGACTTATGCAACAACCTCCAAGCCAGTCTCCCTTCCTCTGCCTTTTCTCCCTCAAACTGTTCTTCCCCTCGAAAGCTTCAATCAGTGCCTATCACTGCCGGGCTGGCGATGGCTTCCTGTTTCACTTAGAATAACTGCAAGTCCTACCCGAAACCTGCAATGCCCTTTCTATCCGGCCGCAGCCTCCCCGCCAGACTGCAACGCCCTCTGCTCCTGCCCTTGTTTCCTGAACTCTGGCCACCCTGGCCCTCTCACTGAACCCTCAGACACACCAAGTTCCAGCTGAACTTTGGGCACCTGATGTTCCTTCCTCTGGGACCACTCCTCCCTCAGATCTTTGGCTCATCTTTCAAGCCTCCACTCCAGTGTCAGCTCCTTAGGGACACTAGACACTAGGTCACCCTCTGCTGGGCCCAGTCGTACACTCTCTACCACATCACCCATGTTCATTGTCTCTGGAGCACTCATTACCACCTGTGATAAGGGTATTTACTGACTTAGGGACCTGGTTTCAATGCTAGGATATGAACTTTGCAATGCTTTTATCCTCTGCTGTCTTCCAAATGGTAAAACTGGTGTCTGGCAGGCTCAGGTTGATGCTCCACACATTTTTACAGACTGACTGAGTCTTGACTAAGGGAGGGGATGAGACAAGGGTATTTACTGACTCACTGAATTGGTTTCAGTGCTAGAATGTGAACTTTGTGATGCTTTATCCTCTGCTATATTCCAAATGGTAAAACCAGTACCTGGCAGGTGTTCCATATATTTTTATAGATCAACTGATTTTTGACTAAGGGAGGAGTCTTAAAAAAAAGGTCAGAGCATTTCTAAGCAAGCAGGACCGCTAATAGCTCCACACCACACAGGGAAGGTCTGGGCCACCTCAGTTGGCAAAGAATACTACCAGGTAAGGTCCTGGGCAGGAGCCAAAACAGAGCATGATACAGGAACTAGATGAGCAGAATCAGTAGCACATATGGCCTTGCAACAAGATGCAGAAGAGAGAAATTTCCTTTTGTGGTATCATGTATATATACATGATATTTATGTATTTTCTATTTCCTTTCCTCCCCCACCTCTTTCCACTACGAAAGGGTATGTTGCTTACATGTACCTCTGGGTATACAAAATGGAAAAGGCATTGCGACAGGACTGGAAAAGAAATGGCTATTACTCTGGAGGGCCTAGACTCAGGAGAGGTTTGTAGTAATTGATGAGCTTTTGGGGTGTCTCCTTCTAGAGAAGGAGGGAGGGGGTTTTTAATTATACATGGGATAGGGCATCACATTAGAATGACATTTTAAAATAAAATGGACACCCTCCACCCTGCTTCATTTTTTCTTTATAGGACCACCTGCTGTTATATGGTCACTTGTTAATTCATTATCCCCTCACTAGAATGTGACTTAAGGGCTTTGTTCTGTTCACTGATGCCACCTGGCACACAGTAAGTGCTCAATTGTTACTGGATATATGAACAAATGAATGAACAATGGAGAACCTGTCCAGACTCTCTATTTCTACTACTACTCAGATTTCCTCTAGGGGAATGACCTCCTTTCCATTGTGTTCGGCCCCTGTGACAGGGAATCCATGGACTTGCCTTCTACAATGGAAGGCAAAGGGTCTCTGGAGGCACCCAGCCCTTCACCCTGTTCCAGTGCCACCAGGAGGTAGACACGTCACCTAAGCTTCAAGAATTGATTTTCTCAATCCTGGGACTCTTGAGTGAAAGAGTCTGTCTTGACTGAAGGACAGAGGGAACAGTTGGCCTTCAACTACTCCCGGCAGTGGCACTATGCCCTCCTGCTACACCCTCCCTCAGCTTCTTCCATGTGGTTCCTTGGTTCCCAGGAACAACCCCGAAGGTCATCCACTTCCCAGACTGGTTCTCTAGCCATTCAAGTGTTCAAGCTCAACAATTAACAACTCTGGGGACATCTGACACCGTTCCAATAAGTTCTCTTTTGGCTTAAGCTGGTCAAAGTTCGTTTTTGTTGCTTCTCAACAAAAGAACATTAAAGTCAAAATCAAACACTGGTACAGGAAGTACAGAAATCAGCTGTTTGTATATATACAGGGTTGGAGGAGCAATCACTAACACTCCTTCCATGTTAACTACACTGTCTTCAGTGTTGCACATTCCTGTTAAATCTTTGAACACATGTGTACATGTCATATATTGTTGTAATCGTGGTAGATGTTATAGACTGAATTACATCCCTTATAGAGATGCTGACATGCTAACCCTCAGTACTGTCAAAGTAACCTTATTTGGAAATAAGGTCTGAGTAGATGATCAAATTAAGAGGAGATTATTAGAGTGGGCCCTAATTCAGGCAGAAAGCCATGTGAATATGTAGGCAGGGAGAAAGGCAATACTTTGTGCCTTTCTCTACATGCCAGAGCACAAGGCACCCGAGACAATCAGAAGCCAGCACAGAGGAGCAACCACCCCTGCCAACGTCTTCATCTGACTCCTAGCCTTCAGTGCTGAGACACAAATTCCTGCTATTTAAGCCACCTGGTTTGTGGTACCTTGTTACAGCAGCCTTGGCAAGCTCATACAATATATATGATTTTCTTTTCTTTTTTTTTCCTCACTTTAAAATTGTAGCTATCACTTTTCATGTTGTTGCACTGTTTTCCTGTCGATGTTGTCAACTGTTCTGAGGTAGTGACTCATGCAACACCCCAACTCACTGGTCTGCCATAACTGGACATTCACTTTGACTTTTGTGCCTACACCATATTGTGAAGAATAACTTGTGCATATAGCTTTTTTTCTCCTTTTGGATAACTTTCTGAAAACGTCACCAGAGGTGGATGACCATGAGGCCTGGGGCTGAGCGGCTTTGCAGAAGGAAGACAATGAATGCACTTTGTCTCCAAGGGCACACAAGTGAATGGGTTTTGAATTCTGAATGGGAAGAACGTTGACATACGCCAATGGGAAAGAAGGGAGTTCTAGACAGCGGGGGCAATGTGAGAAGCGCGAAGGGGTGTGAAAGCCTACAGCAGATGCAGGAAGACTGGATGGCAAGCTCTGGCGGGAGAAGGGAGAAAAACAGATGGAAAGTGACACTCCGGTTGCACAAAAGTCCATAAACTCATTTAAGGAACTGGGGCTTGATTCCAATGGTGGGAAAGAGTTGAACATGAACAGTGGCTCTGACTAGAGAGTGTATGAAGCTTGGCCTCAAGGAGGTGATGGGGTGGCTGTGAGGGGAAGGGTTAAGGAGACTGAGAAGCAAGGTGATCCTGAGAGCCAATGGATGGGACCTAGTGACTCCATGAGGAGGGGGGGAGTGATGACTCCCAGGCGTCTATCCTACTGGGTTGAAAGACTGACAACGTCATGAGATGTTCACAGATTTCCTCAACCTCCACCTTGAGTCCTCCCAGTACATGTGACACGAGTTAGAAACCATGGCGACACCATGTGGGGCGGTAACATTCCCTCACCATTCACCAACTCCCTGACCTCTCACCACCCAGGGTAACACGGTCCTCAACGATTTCTGTGTCAGAATCCATCAGAGACCTTCTTGTCCCCATTTTTGGTCACCAGTCACATCCTCTTTGCCTGTCCTTAGAAATGTCTTCCTTGGCCAGGGAGTCCATACCTCCTTGCTCTCTTTCCCTTCCTTGACCCATCTTTTCCCTGCCTCCCTCCTTCCCTCCCCGGAATTTCAGTTCTTCAAGTGACACCCTCACCTTCTTCAAGTCTGTTTAAACCTCACCCCATCTTACAACTTCCGTTGCCACCATCACACGCAGGATGTGCCCACACAGCGAGATGGTGGTGCTGCTGCAGCCAGCAGCCAGGCTTCCTAATGTCCAGCTCTTACTCTCATGTTCACCACATGATATTCATTTCTAAAAGTAAGACAGGAAACTGCCATTGCAGCTATAATCATTAGGGTCGGCTGCACCTCTTTCAAGAGGCAGCATAGTTCAGTGGTTAAAAATGAACCACTTAGTATTAAAAGTTCTATTTATAGACTCAAATCTCATTTCTGCCCCCTCCTAAGTGACCTAAGGCAGGTGACCCATATATACCTGGGCTTTTTCATCTGTAAAAACGAGAATAATAGCATCTAACATGGCAGGTAGTTAACGAAGATCAAATAGGCTAATACATCGGAGCACATGGGGCAGTCTGCCACACGGAAAGTCTTCAATAAATGTTGGCTCTTGTTACTCTGGTCCATGCCATTCATTATCTGACCAGCTGATTGGTCCTGACATGAATATTGGCAGAGGGGAAGATTTTATTTTTTAAGAATGTAAACATCATTCCGAAAACATGCGGTTATTAATTCAAATCAACAAGCATTTACTGGACAAGTACTGTGACAGCATATTAACTCCTGTATTAGACAAACTTTTCTTTGGTGTTCAAAACAGCATCTGCAAATCTCAAACACCCAGAAAGCGCTTCAGAAAGGTTCAGACATATGCCTGGGACTCCATTCTTAGCTCTCCACCTTAGATACACAGATGAGGGGAGCAAACTTCTCAAGTGGGGTCACTGTGATGACACAGAGCCCGGAAGAGCTGACGACACCCCCACACCTGCATGAGAAGACCCTGAGGTAAGCCCTCCTCACTCCGAGCTGAATAACAACCGGGCCCAGAGGCAGTGGAGAGGTGCCCATTCGAATGGGCACATTTGTTTCACTGAAAACAGTCCACCAGAGGACTCCACAGCAGTTTCTAAAAAGGGACCCCTGAACAGGGTGGGCCTGAGAAACTCACCATTGGATGCTCGCATCTGCCGCCGGCGTCCCACGCGGTCCAGCCCAATGGGGGTGCTCTGGGAAAAGGTGAAGGGCCGCAAGCGGGCCGAAACCGCCTTGTAGGGCAGCACCTGGTGAGCTGGCACGGGAGGCCTGGCTGCCGGCTACAAAAGGAAAGCAGAACGCTGTGAGGGGATGCCAGGAAGTGGCACCTCCTGCAAAGCTCTTCACACGCACAGCAGTGAGCAGGTCGGCGCCGTCACCTCCAAGCCACTCACACATGTGAAACACTTTCTCCAAATCGTGGCAAGAGCTTCAGGCTGCATTGGGGCTCAGTTGTGATGAATTATTCCAAGATTTTAGAAAACCAGTATCGACTCAAGAGCTCTTACCTCACAGCACACATTTCATCTTATTTGTCAGTAACATACCAAAGGGTAATACTCTAGTAAAAGCAACGTGTCCAAGAAGAAGAAAAGCAGATTTAGGAAGTGGTGGCTTTCTCACACAGATGCAGAGGCAGAAGGGTAAGAAGATGTGCTCCCGGCAGCCGCCTCGAGGGGAAGTACACGGTGCCAAAGACCCAGTCGTGGATGACAGCCTCGGACTGGCACACCCATCAGGGACATCCACATGCAGGCACTAGGTACGTGTTTGTGGAATACAAATGTTCCTTACCTAAACTATCATGACAAATAAGCTTTGTTTAAAAGAAGAGTTGGTTTTCCATGAATTTACCCAGGTCTGTTTAGAATCACCTATGTACCCTGTTGATTTCCCCATGTGAACCATCTCTATACAGCGAAGGTCAGGTTGGTTTATGCTTTCCTTAGGTTTTCTTAGTATTTTCCACCCAATTCCCTAAATGAGCTTACAGTACATAAAGTTATCTTACCACATTCCTTCTTGATGCTCCAAAGTGAAATGATTTCGAAGTGCTTTCAATTTTCCCCACACTGTGTTTTAAGTTAAAACAGATTACAGTTTGCTTTGGTTCAGAATTATTTCCTAGCATATAGCTCATCTCAATACCACAAAAAGTTCACGGTATTCTTCCATTTAATTTTTTATCTTAAGAATACAATTCAATTGAACTCTATTAAACAAGAGGTATTTAAGCACTTCCTATAAACAAGGCATCAGGCTGGGCTCTACGGGGAGAATGTAAATATAAAATCCAATACTAACATAGATTTTCCCCTTTAAGAGAATATTATGAGTCACTTAAGATATCAGCTAGCAAGCTCAAAAAGTGAAACTGGGCACTTACTCATATTAGTATATGAGTAAATATATCATCATATATATATATAAATATATATATATTTATATACATATATATATATATATATATATATATATATATATGAGTAAATATATCAGCCAGTATATATTCTGGGAACCCCTGACTATGGCTGGGTCTCACCATTAGCATACACTCCTCCTGAACAGGGCCTTTATTTAAATGCTTTGTAGACTCAAAGTGTTCTTTGGGTAACTGTAAGTATTTGTTGAATTACTAAGGGATAAAGATAAAGATTTTTAATCTATTGGTAAAGCAGTTGCAAAGCAGCAACTTGAATGTAAAGAGTTAAAAAATGGTAGGAAAAGGATTTCCTTAGCTCCTAAAGAACCGATTTCTTATTTTCTTCTTATCTTTACATTTTAACATTGGAGGACACTTTCTCTTTCAAGAACTTCTTTCAGGAAGCTCACTAAATGTGCACTGCTACTTTTTCCTTATTAAGATCTCAGGTGATTTAGAACAAACAGCAAACCAGTTTCACATACTGTTTGAGATTCCAGGAAAGACAGAAGATTAGTAAAAGGCATCCACACGTCAGACGGTTAGTTTAATTCATGCGTGCTTTCAAAGTCAGGAAGAAAGGTTGGGAGTCTGTCGTCCTTGAGGCAGAGAGAAGAAAGAAAAGCAGCGGCCTGTTTAGTTTACAGAGGAGAACAAAGGCCAGGAAGCTGGAGGACTTGGTTTGCTTTGGTAGAAGCACACCAGATCTTACTTGGGCTAGAAGACTCTCTATTTCCTCTGTCTGGCCGTTCCCATAGAAGCTGACCCCGCCTATCACAGAGATGGGGCGTCTTCTCCGGCTTCCTCTGGGGCAGCCCACGGCAGGGTTCTGGTCTGCAGGGACTGTGGGGGCCGTGTTTGGCTGGTGGTCCCCCTCCGAGGTGTCCTCTTTCTGGGGGTCTACAGCAATTGAATCTTCAGGAATAGACAGACTTCGGTGGGCCAGCTGGCCATAGTCAGAGAGTGGTCGGGGCCTTGATCTTCTCCCAGAACCCCATTTCCTCCTGGTGATCCTCTGAGACTCTGTCCTTTCTTCATCTCGGGATGAGCCCCGCCTCCAGGATTCCTCTGTCATGACCTTTTCAAATGTGAACAAGTTAGGTGAGCACCAAGATCCAGGAAGGTATTGAAAGAGAACAAGCCATACACTCCCCTCCCAGCCTCTTCGGCCCTGCCTTAAGGCCTTCTTGATGTACTTGTTTGTTTTAAAAAGTTATTTGTCTAACAGGAAGACATAACTGCACTGTGCATTAAAATATGCAAATCATCTTTAATTGGAGGCTGAATTAAAACCATAATCTAAATAGTGATGTATGGTGACCAGTGATGGCCTATGATAAAAGCTATTAAGGAAATCAGTTCCATTGCGAGTTCCTAGAAAGAAGGAACTACAGTGTCGCCCAAAAACACACATAACAACAGCATGGGGAAATGCAGAACTCCAAAAGGAGAAATGAATGTGTAATACCTTACACTGCTGCTCTAAGGTATTTTCTTGCAATAATCTTTAAAAATAGGATGTGCTTTAATAAAAGTAAGTCTGGGCTGTTAGCGCCTGACACTCAAGGACTTGGGTCTTTTGGGTAGAGCACTGAACTAGGATTCCAAGAACTAGATCAGGCTACTAACTAGCTGTGTGACCAGGACAAGGAACAACTGACCTTTCAGGACTAGACAATCCCACAGCTGGCAAGTCTGTAGTCCTAAACTAGGCAACACTTTCAAACTATTCAAATACTGTTTTCAGAGACATGCAGTGTACCAGCAAAAAACCATGAGGTCGGAAATGGATAGCCTTCTGTGTAAATCAGCCTGGGCCACTACCTAGCTTTGTAACCTCAGGCCAGTTACTTAAGGTCTGAGGATTCAGTTCTGTAGCTCTTCACTGGGGAATAAATAATGGGTCCTTGTGTGGATGAAATGCTGTAACAATGATAAGTAAGATAGCCCTTATCAGCCACAGTTAATTATTGCTCTTAAAAAGCAGTGTGTAGAATAAGCATGCCCAGATTCAGCCCTGCCTGCCAGATAACCTCTATGTCAGCATACCCCTCAAAGTCTGGGTTCAGAGGAAGGCTGCTACATAGTTCTACAGGAAGCACATGCCTGTGAGCCTGGGCACCTCCAATTTCTCCCATCTCTGGTTATTATTTAAAAATAAAATAAAAAATAAAAACAGACCAGAACCCAGGGAAGAGAACAAGAACAGAGATGTCTCTCGAGGGCAGGGCAGACCTGCAGACAGCCTGCAGAACTGCCCCAGGCAGCCCGGCACTGCCCCCAGGACAGGCCCAAAAGATCATGCTGCTCGCCCAACAGTGGCAATCGAGACCTCAAATATGGTTCCTGTAATTTTCAATCCCACGTGCCTCGGAGGTCCCTAAGATCATACACAGTTGACATCTAAGCAACACAGGAGTTAGAAGTGCTGCCCCTGGCACAGTCAAAAATCTGCATGTAACTTTTGGCTTCCCTCAAACTTTACTAATGATCTACTGTTGGCTGGAAGTCTTACCAATAACAATCAACACATATTTGGTATGTTATACATAGTATAAACTGTGTTTTTATAATACTATAAGCTAAAAAAAAGATGTTATCAAAAAATCATAAGGAAAATACATTTCCAGCATTGTACTGTATTTATAAATAATTTTTAAAAATCTGCATGTAAGTGGACCTGCACAGTTCAAACCTATGTTGTTCAAGGATCCACTGCACTATGAAAAATCTGATGAAGATCAAAGAAAGCAGAAAGGAATTTACAGATGCTCTACTGCACTGCCATCATTTTTCAAATTAGGAAAACCAAACTTCTAGAAAGGAAGGGACTTGCCTACGGCCACACAGTAAGACAGACACTGAACGTGGGTCTTATAATTTCTGTTCCCAAGATACCACAAAATTTCCCCACTGTACCAAGTCACCTCTGCTCAAAAGCAAGTAAGTTCTGGCAATCACCACTTACCTTGCTGTCTGTGGATTCTGACTGCATGGAGTCAGAACATGAAGTTCAAACCATGTCACCACTGAGAGGTCTAGAATACACCACCATAGCATAAAAACTCTTCTGAGCTCAAGGTATTCAAGAATAGACTTTTTTTTTTCTTCTGAACTCCCTTATTTGCCTGAAGCCAGAGCTTCCCAAAAGAACTCAATTGTCATAAATCCACTATCATGAGATAGGATTTTCTTTCTTCCAATGAGGGAAGATTTGACTCTTATCAGTTGAGAAGAGAAGACCTGGCCTCAGCAGACGTTGCCACAAAACTATCAGACCTCCCATCTGCTCTTCCACAGGCCCATTTATCTTTCCTAAATTATTGGGTTTCCCAAGTCTTCTCCACCTCCCCTTCCTCTAGTAAGAAATACAAATGCCCCCAATTCTTATCACTTCCTGGAGTCACTTTTTCCTGTAAACTCCCACTTACTTACAGGAATAAAAACCTGTCTTTTCTCTTCTAATCTGCCTTTTGGCAGTTCAATTCTATACACCCCCATGTACTAAGCCTAAGAGGGTGGAGGAAAAGTCTCTCCTCTCTAACACCACCATGGGAAAACACGAGAAATCAAGAAAACATTAATATTTTTTGATGACATATGAAAAACAAGTTATTATTAAACCAAATGGCACAATTTAAGCAGTCAAGAATAGGTCCATTTATATTATCAACCTGTGATAAGACGGTTCAGAAACAAGGTGTTAGAAAAACAGAAGCAAGACAAAATTACAGGCAGTAGTCTAACTGGTAACAAATCTATGTGCAGCTTTTTGTTGTTGTTGTTCTTTGGGTTGTTGCTTTTTGTTTTTGTTGTTTTTTCGGGTGGTTTTTTTTTGTTTTGTTTTGTTTTGTTTTCTTGCACGTAATGCAACATGCAGCATGCCTCACTAAAGCCTTGCTGATGCAGACAGGAAAATAAGGAAATGGGTGTAGGAAGACAGGAGGCTGTCTTAGTTGTTCAGGTAAGAAATCCTTCTAAGACCAAAACATACTCCAGGAAGTGAGGAGGCTACATAAAGGCAGGTATTCTCAAAGCAGGAAATCAGAGGGCAGGAGACGTGCACAGGATGATTTCTTTAACACGTCATACCTCGAATGTCAGCTACTATTCCCACCAGGGGGTACACATAAGAACCCACTATAATCCTCCTAGAACTATTTATAGAGTCCCACCAAAGAACAAAAGGAGAAAACAGCCTTTCTAAGTGGTACTGAATGTTCTAGGAATTGCAAAAATTAGTTAACAGAATAATATATACAATTGAAATGTCCACTTTACTCCTAGCAAAAGAGAAAAAAGGAAAGACAGTGATCCTTAGCCAGAAGAGACTTAGATTCCTAGTAAAATAAATGAGAATTGATGCGTATTCTAAAACTGAACCTTCCTTTGGCAAAGTTTATGTACTTCGAAATATGACAGAGGTTCATTCCAGGGAACAGAGCTTGACTGTGATTATATCTGAACTACAAACACCTACCACCACCACCACCACCACCACCACCACCACCACCACCACCACTCTCCACAAGTTATGACCTACCCGGGACTCTGATACAGGTAGTGGTGGCCCACAGATACACTGAAGGAACAAGCAGTTGACCATATCCATTCTCTCTGATATTCTTTCTCGCCTTTAAAACAGGACAGTGAGGGTGTAAGTGGCCATGCCAGAGCTATGTCTGCTGACGCTTCTCCTCACAATCCACCAGTTTGGGCTTCAGACCAGTCCAGGGCTCTAAGCTTAATTGGCCAATTCACACCCAAGTCACAAACTTTTGTAAACAAACTTTGCAGTGGAGTGGCTGCCCTTTTAACTCTCGCTTCTCTGTATAGTTTTAGAGTACTTTCCCTAGTCAGGAATCCTGAATTTTTTTCTTCCTCTACAAGATTTCTTTCTTTGCTTCGCAAAGTAAAAAGCCAAGATAGGTCTAATTACCTCCAGTGAGACACTTCAAAACATTTTTTGAAACAACAGTGAGAGTAAGTTATTAACTGAGGAAAAAAGACTTGACAAAAAGCCAGGATGTCACATATATCCATTCAGAAGCTTAGTCTAAGTATAGAGGATCAAATATCAAGAGCTATGGCTTGAATTATGCCCCTCTAAAAGGTATTGTTGAAGCCCTAACCCCTAGGACCTATGAAAATGATCTTATTTGGAAATACAGTCTATAGATGCGATCAAGTTAAGATGAAGTCATGCTAAATTAGGGGAGTCCTAATCCAATGGATGATGTCCTTAGAAAAAGAGGGAAATTTAGACACAAAGACAAAAGTAAAGAGTCATATGAGAGCAGAGGCAGAGATCAGAGGGGTAAATCTCTAAGCCAAGAAACCCCAAGCACTGCCAGGAAACGCTTGTGCTGCTAGAGGCTAGACTTCTGGCCTCTACAACGAGAGTAAATCCTCCTGTTTTGAGCTGCCTAGTTGGTGGAAATCTGTTACAGTAGCCCTAGGAAACTCATATAGCAAAGTAATTCAGGAGAAAATACTATAAGCAGGGAAATTAAGGTGCTTTGTGAAGATGAGAAAAAAAATTAACTAAAGCAGAGCTTTTACACTGGATGAGCCAAAGATATTCTCAAGATGCATACTGATACAATAAGCAAGGCTCTCACACTTTCACAGATTCTCAGCATCCTGAACACCATCAGGAATTCAGGTACAGTCACAGAACTGGAGGTGAGACAAGAACACATCTCAACATCTCATGTTGCAAGGGGTCAGCAATAATGATAATAATCAGAGCTGTGGCTTCTGAACGTCCATATGTGCCAGAACTACAGCAGGCAGCAGGCACGGGATACCCTACCTAATCCTCACCATCACCCTGGGAAGTAGCTAACTATTTATGACATTTTACCCACTTAGACACTAGGGCAATTACTTGCTCCTGTTAGGAGAGCTGAAAGAAAGAGTCCCACCTAATAACTCGGTCTGTCTGATTTCAAAATCTCTGTCCCTTCCGCTCTGCAGGCCTGAATCCTTGGCATACACTTTTACAGAAAGAAGATGGAATCTGGTAGGTCCTCCGGCCTTTAGCTGTAGAGCTGCTTGGGTGGGGGTGAGGGAAGG